AAGCATTTAAGAACTAGAGGAAAATTGTATGTTTCATCATTGCTACTCTGCACCCTGCCTGGTTTGTCTACTCTTCATGACCCTTCAGTAAAGGGGTGTTCAGTTGCCTACAGATGGGCTTTGGAATGCTTTCTTAATGTACACTTACCCTTTATATAAAACTCTCTCTTATACATATTAGTTTCTGTGGATTTATTTCTCTAGTTTACCCAGACTAGCACACTTCCTCCCCACCACTATCACCACCCCAGTTCTACTTTACAAATCCAGCTAGACCAGAGCACGTACACTGGTATAGATAAGAGCTCTCAACACACTGAATCCAGGACAGATAAACCCCTCGGGAACAGTAATGGGAGTAGCAATACCATAAAGGTAGAGGGAAGCTGGGGGAATAAATAGGGAAATGGACCACCCCCACCCGCCCAGGGTGACAAACAACAAACATGGGTGCAGGGAGACAGAGGACAGTGTAAGACATGAAAATAATAATAATTCATAATTTATCAAGGGTTCATGAGGGTGGGAGGGAGGGGGGAAGGAGAAAAAAATGAGAAGCTGATACCAAGGGCTCAAGTAGAAAAAAAATGTTTTGAGACTTGTTTGGAGGGTCTAGCAGGGGAGCGCAGCTACTCGTATACCCTTGACCGAAGGACAGTCTTCCTTCTATTGGGGAAGGTCATCCTCTTCAACGAGTGTGCAGCTTAGGGAGGGACACACATGGAGCGGTGAGGGAGGAAGGGGACACCGCCTAGCCAGCCAGATCAGCTGAATCAACCCTGGCGATCAATGGGGTGACAGATGTCGCAGCCAGATCGCCCTCACATCCGAAAAAAAAAAAATGTTTTAAAAAGGATGATGGCAACATATGCGTAAATGTGCTTGAGACAATGGATGTATGGATTGTTATAAGAGCTGTAAGAGCCCCTAATAAAATGATTTAATAAAAAAGAGAGAAACAAAAACAAATCCCTTCTCCCCCTTTAGTATCCTTCACTTGTCATCAACCAATGATTGATATTCACCTTTTCGTATACCAATACATGATCTACAGTCATAAATTTTGCATTGCCTTTGTTTCATTGACCAATTTTTATTGTTGAATGAGTAAGAAGTATTTAAGAAAGAGCTTCCTAAATTTACAAAAAAAAAAAGCACTGTTGAAAGTTAAAAATGTACGAAACAAATTAGTTTCCCATTCAGCCATCCAGACAGACTGTTTTGTGGCACTGATTGTGATCTCTGCAAGATCAGTGATCTTCCTGTTTCCACCTGGGGCTCCCTGTTTCTGTTCACCCAGTTTTCCCGACCCTGCCTTCCCACCTACCTTTGCTCTGGGGCAAAAGCTGCCCTTGGGGTTTGTGCAGCTGGTTGTTCTCAGGGGCATGCTCATTCTGGGTCTGACTGCTTACTGTACAGACCTGTCTTTTGCGGGCTGAAAGGGATCTCTGGGAGTAGTTTAAGGCCTAAGTTAGAAGGGTACCTATTGGTTATTATCTCAGGGGATCCACCAGTCTTTTTCACGTCGGTAAGGCTGGTCTTTCTGATAAATCTGAATTTTGTTCTACTTTTTTCTCCCACTCTACCTAGGACCTTTTATCATGAGTGGTCAGTACCTATCTAGCTCTGCTGGTCTCTGGTTAGTGGAGGCTCTGTGCATGTGGTTTATTAAGTCTTTGGGCTAATGGCTTCTTGGGTCTTTAGCTTTCTTCGTTCTTCTTTGTGCTGAACAGAAAGAAACCAACAGTTTAGCACCACTTAGAAGCTTTTAAGATCCCAGGTGCCACTCACCAAAGTAGGGTGTAGAACAATGTCTTTTTGGACTATGCTATGCCAATTGACCTAGATGTCCCTGAGAGTACAGTCCCAGCTCTTAAGGCCAGTAGCTCAGTGATACAGTTTATTATGCCAGCCTGGTTTTATCTCTCTAGAGAACCCTGTCTAACACACTCAGTCTTGAGATGTTTAGTTATGGCTAAGAGGTTTTCCTGAATGTGCCTTCCCCACCCACACCGTGCACTCTATTAGATGCTGTTATGTTACATGCTGTTGTTTCTGACTCAACCCAACGCAGTGAACGATGGAACAAAATAATGCCGGGTTCTATACCACCCTCACAATCACTGCATTGCTTGAGCCTACTGCTGGAGCCATTGCGACAATCCATCTCACTGAAGATCTTCCTCTTCTTCCTGAAACTTACTTTCCAAACATAATGTCCTCCAGGGAATGTTCCCTATTCATAACATGTTCAAAGTATGTGATCATGTGTCTTTGAAATAGGCACAAATCTGAATCTGTTCTACTCAGTTGGTCAGAGAGCTGTCTTGCAAATTCCTTGGCCTATATTAGCAAACACTTCCAGTATTGCATCTGTGAATGAAACATCAGTGTTCTGTCAGATCTTAGAGACTTTGCTCTTTGCCAACTGAATCAGTGCAGAATGGACTTCTTCCTTCAACACCATCAGTTCTTGATCATACACTACTTTCTGAAATGGTTGAACATTAACCGATTCTTTTTAGTACAGTGATGACACTGTATATGTATGCATATGTTAGAGCTTCAAAAAGTTCATGGAAAAAGGGAATTAAAAGAAGTTTTCCACAAACTTTTTGAAGCATGTGTGTGTACTCCCATACATCTTACTACCCTTGCTTGGCTTACACAACTACCTATATATCCACTTGTACGCTATTGTTTGCTATTACTATTACTGCAGGATAATAAACATAATAGTATTTACCGTCGTTCCCTCTTATTCCTACATACCTTTTGGTATCGTCCTTTCCCTCAGTTATGTTTTGTGGCATCCCTCATATGTGTACTGTCTTTCCCTTCACCAAAGTGAGCATGTGTCTACTATCAAGTTAGTGGTTTTCTTTCCCATCTGCTCCCATCTCCTGTTCACCATCAAAGACTGTTTTTTTCTGCTATGAACTTTAACTTTTTATAACAGTAGTCTCATACGACATTTGTCCTTTTGTGACTACCTTTCCCAAAATTTCTCAATCATGGGAAACCAAGGCAAAATAAATACCTAGCAGTCCTGCTTATTAGGTAGTTAAATACAGATAACTTAATAATACAGCCTAATAGCCTTTGAGTAAATAAGCCCATTGCCATCTAGTCCATGGTGACTCAGTGCCTGATAGGACAGAGTAGAACCACCAAACATGTTGCCAAGACCATAAAGCTTAATGAGAGCAAACAGCCTCCTGTTTCTCTTGTGGAGCAGTTGGTGGGCTTGAACTGCCAACCATACTATTAGCACTCCAATGCTTACCGCACTATGCCACCAGGGCTTCTATTACTGAGAGAAAAGTAGTATTTTTATTTTATTCTTAAACAACCACAAGTGTCGCCTCATAGGATGCATGTACCTTTTGACACTGCACAACCAGGGAATGAACCTGGACACTCACAACCTCATTTCCTGTTGCACACAGATTTTTGCAAGGTATTTGCTTATTATTGCAAACACACACGCAATTTTACAAAGAGATAAAACCATAGAAGGGAATGTAGTATGATCTAATGTTGATTGGAAACTATTTTGAACCAGTGGTTTGCACAGTGTCCAACACATGACAAGTACTGGGTGCCATGGCACAGCTTAGGAACTTGGACTGTACCGGCTATCAACATTACCTTATAAGTAAGGAGACGTGAAAAAGTAATGCCACTCTCAGCTTTGCTGTCAACCTCATATAGCTCATCATTTATTTTCAGGTATTCTTTTAATTCAACCTTAAATTTGAAAGACATTTGCAATTAATATCAGATAGGAATTCCATAGTTTCAAATTTTCTAAAATATTTTGCAAAAATAAAAGATAGCTATAAAAAGGTTTCTATTTTTCCAAGATATGTAAAGCATGCTTTAACTCAATCTCCTTCCTCATTTCCCTTTTCTTAGTCATTCTTTTTAAGTTAAAAAAGGAATATCCTTAAAAATACTTATGACACATATTTGTCACAAGCAGCAGCATACACGTCATAATGTTCAAACTTTTTGTCTTTGACTAAGGTGTTATTTGTATTATCCCTCAAGATTATTGGTTTGAATTCAAAATACGATGAAATTTTTCATGTATTATATATATTTTTAAGCTTTTAAGCACAGGTCACTGCATTTAAAAAAAGAAGAATCACTAGTTTAAAAATTAAAATCAGAAATGACCTCTTGAACATGTTCATCTTTGGTACAAATATAAAAAATAAATTAAATTTCACATTAAAATTTGGTGATTCTCAAAAGTCAGTTTCTGACAAACCGTTCAGGCAAAGACCATACCCACTAGCACTGCAGACAGCATATGTACATCATAAAGGGCTCCAAAAAACTACAGATTACATTTGTCTATTTTCTTCCATGTTTTTGGAAATACAGTTTATCGAGGAGTTTAAATAAGTACCTGGTGAAGTCTGAACTTAGTGAAAATGACCGTCAAACATAAATATTTGAAGATAATTTTTGTTTATGTGCTAGTAACGCAAAACTTGCCTTGCTCAAGTTTGGCTCATTGAGAAAAAAAAAACTTCACCAGAGAGAATAAAAAGTAGAAAAATATAATGGATTTGGAAAAATTCATTCCATAAATAGTCAACGAATATATTGGGAGGCACTGTTCCAGGTGCTGTAGATTTATCAGTGACCAGAGGCAAATCTGTGGCCCCTGGAGTTTCTATTCTCTCTACACTAAGTCTTCTTATTCGTGTATGGGGTAAAGAATTACACTCGTTCACTACTACATCAAGTTTTTACCTAGTAGTCATATACATGTATTACTCTTCATTCGAAGATGAATGTTTAACAAACAATAAAGTACAAACACAGATACATACTGGTCTAAACTGACTGGTATAATACTCAGCTTTAAGGAACTCTTGTAGGTCTTCAACATTGTTCAGTGTCGCACTCATACCAATGATCTGAGTTGTTTCTAGAAAAGAAAACAAGAACAAAGTATTGAGGATAATTTGTGTACCGTACACTTAGTATGTCATCATAGAAGTGATACTGGCAACTTTTTTGTGTTTTTGTGAATTCTTTCTAGGTAACTGGAGACAAATATATTACCTGAGTAGGGTAAACCTCAGGAGTCCTGGCGGTGGTTCTGCGTTGGGCTAAGGATCCACATGGCTGGCAGTTCAAACCCACCAGCAGCTCTGCGGGAGAAAGACTAGGCTTTCCATTTCCAGAAACAGTTACAGTCTCGGCAACCCACAGCGAGCACCACCAGTCATCATTGATGGCAGTGAGTTTGGAGTTTGGGGAGGTTAAATGTTTGTTAGTATGTAGAATTTTATATATTGTGAAACTTGGCAAGAGAGTATTTATCAGACTTCTAGGCAAAGCGTAATGCATATTAATATGGTTGCTGTAGACTCTGTGGATCATCGGCAGGAAGAAACCAAACTCCCTGCCATCGGAGTCCACGCTGTCTCACAGCTACCCTATAGGACAGAACAGAACTGCCCTCTTGGGTTTCCACGGCTGTAACTCTTTTCAGAAGTAGAAAGTGTATCTTTTGGGGGTTTGCTAACTTTTTTAAATGGAGCGGAAGCAAGCTTGTACAGCTTCCTGACTTTCCAGGCAGCACAGTACACAAATGGCTGCTGTCATGGACTTGGCTAACGAATCAAAAAACCAAAGGAAACACTTTAGCAGATGCTTCTTCATCACAGCACCATCTTTCCCCTTGAAATGATCTCTCAAGATCACTGACTGAGGAGCATGACTTTTCCTTTCCCCTTCCATAAGGATGGACTATACAGTGGGAGAATGAATTTAGTGCCAAATCATGGAAGGCTATGCTAAAAAAATTCGGAATTTATGCAGAAAAGAGGGAAGTTATTCAAGAGTTTTAAACTGTAAAGTATTTGAACGTACATTTGGGAAAGCCCATTCTAAATGCACCAGAGATGGGAAACTACAACCATCAAGACTGGGCAGAGCGAAGAGGGTGGTGACGCCTGCAGTCATCTAGGTATGAAAGGATGAAGACATGGACTAAAAGATTTAGTGGCAGAGAAGGAAGTGAAGGATAGACTAATATACACATGAAGCCAGACAGACAGGATTTCATAAGTGTGTAAGACTAGACTGCCCATGAGTGAAGACTGTTAAAATATTGGAGTAGGTGGCTGGATGAAGAATGATGGCAGGGAATTCATATGGAAGGAGTTAAAAGGAAATTAGTTAGGTTTGGAAATGTTGAGTCTGAGCTATTTACAAGGTATTTAAGTAAGAGTATCCAGTTGGCAGAAAAAAAAGTGTACGCTAGAAATATATACTGGGCGTCACAACACTCAGGAAGTATTAGAAATTGTATGAATAGTTGTGAATGAAGCAGAAACTATATGAAGAAGAAACAAAGAAATGGCCTAAAAAGAATCTACACTAACACAAATGTACATAATGAACAAGCTTAGAAAGAGGTATTGCAGAAAAACCAAGAAGACCAGTGTTTCCCAAACCGTGCGATACGAGCACACCAATGGGGTGGGGGTGGGGGGCGGCGCTGTAAAAGCAGACACTTCACATTTTACTCTGGATCATAGGCTATAGTACAAACATTTCTTATTGTCAGGGGTGGGGGGTGGAGCAATAGGTAATTTTTTTTCTGAAAAGGAGGTAGTAGACCACATAAGTTTGGGAAAATTATATATGCAAGATTATATAACCTAGTTAGTAGAATTACATCTCTTGGTTATAAATCAATTAGTGACCACATTTCCAAAAGTACTTACTGCTGGTGTAGAGGATTTTTGCTAGAGTCATTTCCAGTACAGCCCCTCGGCTTCCTTCACCAATCATGTGCAACTTTGAGATTAAAGAGGAACAAAGCTGCATAAGGCATTGTATGGAATCAATATGTAATCCTTGCTTTATATCTTGCTTTAAACATTTTGGACGTAGCAACCTTCCTGTAGATCTGGCATTTCACTGCTATTTTTTTCACTGCTATTTTAAGTTAATGAAATTTGGGGGCAACGTTCTAACACAGTGTAATTCATAAATTCTGTTATGAAACTACACATATATAACTGTTTGTGTCATACAAGTAACAGTTGACACAAAGCTGAATTTAAGGTTACAAAACATGAACTGTCTTCACCTGTATTGTCTATACCAAAATAAACTATTTATGATTCTCCAGAAAGTTATTAAACAGATTCCTGTGATAATCAGTAAATACATTAGTATAAAAAATTGGTCAATTAGAAAAGTAGTCACAAACCTCATCGACAACCACCAGACCCAGAGCGCTAATTCTTCCCATTTCAATCAAGGAGTTCACCAGGCTATGCCCTTTTTCAATAGTGGCAATATACAGTGATTGCTTTTCCCTTCTTCTGACAGGAGGAAATTTCCCTTTGCTTCCAGCATATTCTTCGACAAAGAAACCCAGCTCCATGCCAAAAATTGACAAGCCCGAAATCTGTATTAGTTGAAACAAACAATAACAACAAAACAGATACATAAGAACGCAAATTTTTAAAAATACCAGGTGTTTTAGGAGCAAGATGCGGCAGTCTGCTTCTGTAAAGATTTCCAGCCTTGGAGACCGTCCACCCGTCTTAGTCTGCCTACAAGGTCACCATGAGTCAGAACGGACCCCACAAGCACTTTTAGGTAACAAAAGGGTTAAGGTCACATATAATACAAATCTGGGAAATTTCACAAAATAAATGTTGAGCTTTGCAAAAGGAATGGTCTTCAAATTATATAATATATGTGAAAATAAATTTCTATCTTTTGATATCAAAAAGCATCAGAATTCTTTATTTTGATAAAAGCAATTGGTTAGTTTATGCTTGAAAAAAATAGGGTAAATATCACTAGAATACTTGAGAGGGAGCTTAATCCATCTGTTTCGAAACAAATCTAAAACTTTTTACAGTCAGTAGTACTATTAGGAGAGTTCCTAGGTAATTAGTCAACACTTCTCTTGTACATTTTGAAACTACTATTCCATCCTTAGTCAATGCACCTCTTCTTAGATAGTATTTTTTTCTCAATCAGATAATAAATCAATATTAAAATAACAGAAAATAACATTTGCTTAAAAAGCATACACACACCTTTTCTTGGACAATGGCCACATATGGCAGGATCATTACAACATCTTTCCGACGGCAAAGCAGTTCTTGTAGCATTAAAATCTCAGCCACAAGGGTTTTCCCACCACTCGTTGGCAAGGAGTAGATCAAATTTTTTCTTTCTTGCACTGAACTCAGAGTTAAGCAAGTATGCTGCCATTCTGTGGGGTTAAAAGAAGAAAGCATTATTTTCCCCTTCTATAATCTCAATCTCCAGAAAGTTTTCTAAAAGTGAAGAATTCAATCCCACCGGGGTAGTTGTGCGTAAGGATAAATGTAATTATGTACCAATAAATGACAAAAATCACAGATGGACAACCAGTTGAGTTTCCTGCAGGTCTCGTCAGTGGGACAGGCAGTGAGTGGCCTGGTGACCAAGGGGTATCATGTGGGTGATCCGAGGAGCTAAAGGGCAGCACAGGGACCTGGGGAATTGGAGATTTCATGCAGCTTTCTCCCCCTCACTGACCCAAACATCATCTTAGAGGGTAAAAATCAGAGTTTGCATAAACCAAGGCAATCTATTCAACTAGTTCTGATGGGGAAGTGGAACTGTGATCAGTCTGAATATCATTTTAAACTGTTTAAACCATAAAAGGTAGAACTGTTAACTAAACCTGGGGTTCTCAAAAGCTAACCAGTCCGGGTGCAAAAAAGCATCAGATCAGATGTGAGGTATGGTGTGAAAACCAGCACACCCACTCTGCAGGGTAATTTGACACTGGGTGGTCAAAAGTCTTCAAAATGCGCGCCAGCATTACCAGGAGAATGGACTAAAAAGATGACAGACTATTTCACAGCAGAAGAGATGCAAATGGCCTGTTAAAGGTACTCGACTGTCACTCATTGCGTTGGTAAGAGAACTGAAATATAAAAACAAATAGCTTCCTCCAAAAACACCAGACATGTACAATCCAGAACTGAGTAGAGTGTGATCAACAGGCATTCATACAAAGGGGAGTTGATATCAAGAAGTTCAAGAAGAAAATGTTTGAAAATAATTGTGACTGCAATTGCACAGTACTGCTTGATGTGGTTGAACTACGGATTGTTATATCTGTAAGTGCTCCCAATAAAATGATTTAAAAAAAATTTTAAATAACGTTTTAAAAAAACAAGAAAAATAGGCATTCATACATATAGTAGGTGACAGTAAAATCTGCTGGGAGCTTTTTGGAAAGTAAGCTGCTGGTATCAGAAATAAAACTGCACGCTGCCTTTGATCTCGTAACATTACTTTTAAGGCTTTGTACCCATATAAATAAAAGAAGGAACATATAAAAATGATGATGCCAGGAACCCTAGTAGCATAGTGGTTATGCATTGGGCTGCTAACCTTATGGTCAGCAGTTCAAACCATCAGCCGCTCCATGGGAGAAACACGGGACTTTCTATTCCTTGTAAAGAGTTAACGTCTCAGAAACCCACAGGAGCAGTTCTACCCTGTCCTACAGGGTCACTATGTGTTGGCGTTGACTCAATGGCAGTGAGTAGAAAGATAATGTGCAAGATGTTTAGCATATTTTACATAACAAAGTGTCACCAAGGGGGAAAAGGATTAATATATTGCATAACCAGACAGGGTTATATGGGTTATAAATCATAATTATTTGCAGTTAAAAATGAGGATATCTATCTATATACGAGGGAATGTGTCCTCCAAAACCGGAATTTTTTTCACAGCTTTGTATTTAAAATTTTTTACAACACAACCTTATCACCTACAAAGTACTTGTCAAATCTGCAATTCCACTCTTGAAGACAGTTTCCAAACTCATCTGTTTGGAGGCTGGCAGCACCTTCCTCGTTTATTTTTCTTCACCTCTTCAAATTGCTGTCGTTTCATGTCCCTCTTCATTCGTGGAAACGAAAAAGTTGCATGGAGAGAGTTCAGGTGAGTAAAGTGCACGGGGCAAGAGAGGCACGCTATTTTCTGCCAACAACTAGCACAGAGATGGCTGCATGAACAGATGCACTGTCATGGTGGCAAAACCAGTCCGTCTGCCACAAATCAGGCCTTTTTTTGTTGTACATTGTTACTTATGCTATCTTTTCGGAACCTCTAAAGAGAAAGCTTGGTTAACAGTCTGCCCTGGTAGAACGAACTCCAAATGCACTATGAGTTGACATTTTCATCCATTTGGGAAGTTGATGAACATCCAGAAGGAGGTTTGTCATCAATCAACATGTCACCTTTTTAGAAATGAGAAAACCACTTGTTTTTCCCATAGCGCTATCCTTGTAAGCTGTGTTCAAAATCACAACAGTTAATGGGGCATTTTTCTCACATATGAAACCAAATTGCACCACCGTACACTGTTCTCTTAAATGGGCCATCGCAAAAACTGAGGTTTGAGTGAAACTGCTTTTATGAAAAAATTCACTGTGATCAGAGAGAACCTTCCCAGGTGACCCCACTGGGTGCACTAACTCAGAGCAAGTTGCTTGATGCTCGCCTAGAGGGAAAAATGTGTACTATGCAAGCTCCATCCAGTGGAGCCTTTTCTGGTTTTGGTGGGGGTACCCACTCATATGCTCACTAAATAAGTACAAGGTTGTCAATATACAGTAAAAAAAAATGAGAAATGTGTCGAATTGTATGAACATAATTATGTAAATATTAGAAAAGAATTAGCACAAAACAAAGTTAGGCTTGAATATACTACCTTTGTTTTGTTTTTAAATTTAAATATGGCTGCCAGGTACAAGTTATTAAATATACTGCACAAATATTAACAGCTATGTGTAATGACAGTTACAAATGATTTTCATTTGTGTAATTTTGGATGGCTCTCAAATATTTACCAATGACTATGTATTTTTTAAGTAAAACCAGATTATTTCTCCAAAGCACAATTTACTTCAGACTAATATCACCTATTAATAATAATACAAATTATAATGTAATAAAATATAACTTTACCAGATCCACATTTTATCTAATTTAGATTTTTAAAGATAAAGTGACAAAGTAGGATTGTCCTTTATCTTGAAACATGAAAAAACAATGTTATATTAACTCAGTTCTCAGATTTATATCAAACATACTGTGTACCGTTCTGTGATAGCAAGCAAAGGGAACAGTGCAGAATTGCAGTTTTCCAGCTCAGTGGTGCCCCACACTTTGAGGGGATCTGAATCCCCTGGCGGGCTTGTTAAAATGCAAATTGCTTCAGTTTACTCTCATAGGTGGTTTTCATAATGAGAAATGTGACCAGGGAAGCATCTGTTTCCACTGATTTGCATTAATATGGTTGACAATGATATAAAACATTTTTTTTTAACTACAGCAAAGAAAGCATTACCATATAAGTTTTCGATTCCCTTCAACTGAAGGTAAAGGTCTCTCACTTTGCTGGGGAGTGAATAAAAGGGACCGCGGTCATCTGAGGGCGACTCAAGCATTTTCTTAGCGACATTAATTTCTTCAAATAGAAGAGTCTCTTTGAGCTGGTTGGTCTTAGAAAAAACCGGTGCCTGTGCCTTGGCATTTTCCGTCATGGCACTTTTTAGATGATCTCTAAGACTTCTCCTCCTGCTCGCATCTGAGCTTGTTTGGACTTTAGAAGACGAGGCATCGTTCTGCTGGGGTGGCTCGATGCAGTTTGGGGGCCATTTGTCTTTCGCTGTCTGGTGAGAGGGTAGATTCCAATCCTTTTTTTTGCTAAACTGATTGTCCAGTTCATTTGAGGAGTTCTGCAAATTTTCAAAGTATAAAACCTGTGAAGAAGGTACATCATATAAAAGATCAGTCTCCGGTTCAATAACAGCATCCTCATGCTTACTGTGGTGGGCACCAGTGTTCAATGTGGTGACATGGTCTCGGGCAATAATGGTGGCGTTACGTTTGTGGATGCTTTCTAAATAAAGATCTTCAGTGGCAGGGTCTGTAACACATTTCTCATGCTCTGGAAACGGCATATATTTTTGTTCAAGGTCATCAACTTGAGCTAAAAAAGAGTTTTCAGCAAAGCTGTCATAGCCACCAAACATGTCCTCCTCGCTGTCACTGTGCTGAAAGGAAAGCAGAAATACAGAGATGCTTTACTGAGAAGAGAAGCTTCAACCTAGTTTGTACCAGGTTTAAAATGATAATGTGGAGGTTTTGAAGTCATTGGAAAACATTTTCAGATATTTTAAACTCAAGTTTTCAAATGACCCTCTTTTAAAAATGCTTACAACCAAGCTATTTGGAAAATTTTAAAACGTACTGTATACTAAAGGGTGATGATTAAAATGATGGTCCTCAGGAACAATATATGAAGGAAAACACCTTAATTTTAAGAAAAATGTATAACGAAACTTTTAAAAGCACATTCGAACAAGAATTAATGCTAATAACTGTAATAACCTTTCCATTTGCCACCATATTAGACAAAAAAGAATTTAAATATTTGCCTTGGAGAATGATACCTAAGACCTATCTGTTGTACATATGGAAATACAACATCTCAATACAAAATAAAAGGCAAAAGAGGTTTCTTTTTCTGATAAGTAAGGTCTCGTTGAGGAGCACTGGTGGTGATGTGTTAAGTGGTATGCTGCTAACCGAAAGACCAGCAGTTTGAACCAACAAAGCCTTTGGTGGAAGAAAAATGTAGCAGTCTGATTCTGTAAAGATGACAGCCTTGTATACCCTATAGGGGGTGCTTTGGTGGCATAATGGTTATGCCCTGAACTGTGAAGCTCAAGGGCAGCAGTTCGAAACCATTGGCCACTCCACTGGAAAAAGATGAGGCTTTCGAGTCCTGTAATCTCAGAAACTCACAGGGACAGACCTAACCATAAGGGACGGTGCATTTGCCTATACCTTATACTTTGGCTATACCCTATACTTACTCCATGCCATTGAGTCAATACTGACTCATAGCAACCCCATAAGACAAAGTAGAACTGTCTCTGTGAATTTCTGAGACTGTAACTGTTTATGGCAGTGGTTCTCAACCCGTGGGTCTCGACTCGTTTGGGGGTTGAACAACCCTTTCACAGGGGTCGCCTAAGATCATCAGAAAACACATAAATATTTCACAATATATAATTACATATTGTTTTATGATTAATCACTAAGCTTTAATTATGTTTAATGATGCTCAATTTGTAACAATGAAAATATATCCTGCATATCAGCTATTTATATTACTATTCACAACAGTTGCAAAATTGCAGTGATGAAGTAGCAACGAAAATAATTTTATGGTTGGGGGTGACCACAACATGAGGAACTGTATTCAAGGGTAGCGGCTTTAGGAAGGTTGAGGACCACGGGTTTATGGAACTACCCAGCTCCGTCTTTCTCCCGTGGAGCTCCTGGTGGTTTAGAATGGCCCACCTTATGGATTGCAGCTCCAAGTGTAACCGATATGCCACCTGGGCTCCTACTATACCCTATGAAGCAGGTCTCCTCTGTCCTACAGTGTCACTATGAATCTGAATGGCCTCCA